ATGTACTAATTGGCTGTTTGTATATCTTTGTGAAGCATTTATTCAACTCTTTTCCCCATTTTTTTTTTCTTTTATTATCGAGTTGTAGAAATTTTTAAAAAATACGTTTTTATTTATTTCAGAGAGAGGAAGGGAGAGGGACAGAGAAGTAGAAACATCAGTGATGAGAGAGAATCACTGATCCCCTGCCTCCTGCAATGCCCTGTACTGGGGAACTGGGCATGTGTCCCGACCAGGAATTGAACCGTGACCTCCTGGTTTATAGGTCGATGCTTAACTACTGAGCCACGCCAGCCGGGCTGTAGAAATTCTTTATATATTCTAGATCCCAGTCTCTTGTCAGATATGTTTTGCAAATATTTTCTCTGTTTGTGGCTTGCCTATTTATTTTCTTAATGATGTCTTTTTTCCCCTTTATTTTCTTTATTTAATAATTTTTGCCTTGTTGCATTAACTAAGATTTCTAGAACAATGATAGCAACCACGTGTATTGTGCTGTGCCTGACTTGATCTTTTAAAAATTTTTTATCTTTATTGTTGAAAGTATTACAGATGTCCCCTTTTCCCCATTGCCCCCTGGACCCCACTCCCCAGGCTTTCAGCCCATTATTGTCTATGTCCATGGGTTTTGCATATATGCATATAAGCTCTTTGGTTAATCTCTTTCCCCCCTCTTCCCTCTGAAATGGTGTCTTTTGATACACAAAAGTTTTTAATTTTGACAACTAATTTATCATTTAAAAATTTTATGGTTATTGCTTTCACAGTCATGTTTAAGAAACCTTTGCCTACTTCCAAGTTGCAAAGATATTCTATGCTCTTTTCTAAGAGATTTATCATTTGAGCTCTTATGTTTTGGCCTGTGATGCATATCAAAGTTCAAGTTACGAATATTACTGTAGCAATTTTTGTACCATAACTAAGGTAAAGGGACATTTTAATATAATTTAGAGACATGGAGAGATAAACAGATTGTTTTATTTAGACCTTTCCAAATGTTCTGTTTAGGTATAAACCTCTTTCAGTATTAATGTTATCAGTAGTGGAAAAAAAGCTGAACATGGAAGTAAAATAAAAATGTGCAGTAGAGTGCATTGTTTAGTAGATTTTAGTTTACAATTAGTGGAGTCAACCCCAAGACTTCTCTAAAATGATGAGGGTAGGTTTAGAAGGCTTCCATCTGCTAGTATTCATTTTAATGATATATGACCTATGATGTCTATAGCTCTCTCTCTATGTAACTTGTGATGAACTATTTTCATGCCCATCTCTTTATGTTGTATTCTTGGTGATGAAGCTCTTGAAAACTCAACAATGTACTAGAAGTGATGTCTCTTGCCATGGGGAAGCAGGCTGGCCCCATTGCCTCGCTATTATTTCTTACATTAGATGACTACATAAATTTATAATATTCACACACACACACACACACACACACACACACACACACACACACACGAGTAGTTGGCAAATAACCCAACCCACTGATTGGCCATACCATTTGGGTATTTTGGTCTTTGATCTGCCAGATATAAAATTAAGGAAAACCAGGACATTAGTTAATCAAACAGATACATATCTGCGAACAGATTTATTGCTTAGACATTAAATATTTTACAGAATCAGGTGTATAGTCTAAATTTCTGACCATTTTCCTTTTATAAGCCCACTTGAGCTGAGAACATTTGGTGCTATTGTTCATTGTACTTGTTTTGTTACATGGCAAGGGCAAAACTAGCCAAAATTCAAGGAATGCTGCTTTGTTTTTTTTTTGCCCAAGGATAATCCTAGCACCAACATCATTTTTTCAGTTGTATTTACTTTTTTAAGCTGACCTTCATTTACTGAAAAGCCAAGCATAATACCATTCTAGGTAGTTTCTAAGCCATGATTTCTTTCAGAAAAAATACAATAGACAAGGTTTCCATGAGATGTAGGCCTTTGTACTTTCTTAGTTTCCTCCAGGTAATTAACCTTTTCACTTATAATCATCTTAGCAATAGGACTTAGGCAACTGTTATATAATTGATCGTTAGCAAAATAGCCATGGTGGCAAAAGTATTTTTCTTCTGTAGCATATGATAAACATTTAACCTCAAGATCGATGTTCTGATTCTTAGTTGATTGCTAAAAGACTCTTAAAGTAATTCTACCTTGAACTTAAAACATTACATATAGGTTGCACGTGTTTAAAGATCAGTCTTTAGCAGTGACAAATTGTTTATATTCACATTCCATAATACCCAACTAATGTATTACAAATATTTTGTTTTTATTACGTTTTATATAGCCAGGACAATGTCTTTATCTTTTGGAGGTATATGGCTGAAATATTCAGGGGTGAAGGATGATGATGCCTGTAATTTACTTTAAAAGTGGTTCTATCTATCATCTGTCTATGCAACTACTCTATCTATAAGCAAATATGTCAAAATGTCATATGCCCTGGCCAATGTGATAGGAGCGTTGGTAGGAGCGTCATCCTGCACACCGAAAGGTCTCAGATCGATTCTGGTCACGGCACGTGCTTAGGTTTCAGGTTCGATTCCTGGCCCCGGTTGGGGTGCATCCAGGAGGCAACAGATTGATGTTTCTCTCTCTCTCTCCCTTCCCCTCTCTAAAAAATCAATGAAAATGTCCTTGGGTGAGGAATGTATATATATATATAGTGTTATAGGTGTAAATATATGTATATGGGTATTCATTATACTGTTCTATTTTTCTGTATCTTTAAAATTTTCACAATACGCTGTCCACAAATGTATTCATAGTCTTTGAGAAGCGAAGTCACACTGTGCTTTCTAGGGCTTTTTTGCACATGTGAGACCAAGAAGCTGCACTAGATGTTCTTTAAGGCCCCCTTCCAGGTGCCACGTCTGAATTCTCACAAATTGAAAGGTTTCTACTTGCTAGGAGGATGAATTTCAGAAAAACTACAAAGATAGGCTCACAGTTTTTCATGTGAATAAACTGAGGTCTATTAAACGCGCCCAGGTCAGGGAGTGCTAAGCTGCTTTAGAGGCGACATGCAGGTTCCCTTACTATTTTTCATTTCTGCTCACACAGGTAGGACATGGACTGCTGGTGCTGCAGCACTGCTCCCTTCAGCAGAGCGCTTTCCTACGCCTGGAGGCAGAGGGCACAAGGTGAGGCGTGGAGAGAGCCAAGGGCAGGGGTGGGGAGCTGAGGAAGGTAAGGCCGCAGGAGCTCCGTCCTGCTCTTAAAGGGAATGAGGCCGCGTGTACTTACCTCTCCTCGATCATCTGCTTCTGATATTCCTCATATTCCTCCCTGGTCATCCCTTGAGCTGCAGCAGGATCCGAGGTCCCTCCCTCTTCTTTATTTTCTTCAGACCCGCCACCAAATCCTAAATTCTTTACCTGGTTACTTATCATAGTTTTCACAAAGAAAGCCATTGTTTCTGCCCCAGAAAAAGAATACCAAAACTCAGACTGAACCTGAAGAAGAAGAAAAAAAGACAAAATCTCCAAATATCCTCAGTGACAGCCACACATTTAAGAGCAAAGGGCTTTGCGGGGCCTCATCTGCTCAAGGGCATCCCGATGGAGGAGGCAGTTTGCGGGTGGAAGCCGGATTAGGGGCGAGCTGCCTGCTACGCAGAGGCAGATGGTTCAGATTACTGAGGCCTGCAATCAGATGGGACCGACTCCTTTCTGAATTAATACACTAAGCTAATTTCAGAGGGGAAAAAACCCTTCCCATTATCTACCCCTCCTTCCCCACCCATTTCTGAATTTTAAATTATAAGCACAGCAGGGCTTCTTCCAGAGTTCTGCTTCCATTAAATTCATCAGAACTGACATTATATGGTTGTGGTAGAATTTCCAAATTCCAGCTCTTGAGCATAATTATCCTGTTGAAAACTGAGTCCAATGACACTCAAAACCCAAAGTGCTTCATTAAGCAAAAAATAATCCTTTGATTCATCATTCTGTCTCATTGGACTTCTAAGTGCCATGGGGGGATTTGCCTTTGGTTTGCTTGGGTTCTGTCCTGCTTTGGTGGTTACCATGTCTCGTACGTAGACAACCAAGGGAGGCAAGTCCAAAGGGACGGGGTCCTTAATGTATATCTGGCAGGTTCCCTTGGTCTTCTGCACTGAAATGTTACACTTCTGCGTGGAAGTGATGCTCTGGACATGTTCGGTGCTCCCACCATCCGGAAGGTCAGGACATACATGAGTCATGTCATTATTGTGTAATGGGTCACCTTTTTCTCTTACATGAAGCCCACTTCCTGGGTGCTCTAGCTCAGTGGTGTATAGTACTTGGAGAAAGCCTTTGACAATGGTTAGTGAGGCAGCGTTCTCAAGTCATGGTTTTCCTTGGGTCAAGAGAGGAACTGAGTATGGCTAAGACTTTAATCTACATTAGCATCTAATTACAGCATTCCAAACCGGGGGTGGGGGGGAGACCGGGGTGGGCTGATATGGGCTATTTGTAACGTATGCTTAGTATTCTATCTGTAGACAGGAGCCATCCCAGGAAGCAGATGACTATCCTTGATTGTACAGAACTACATAATCTGGATTTTTGCCTAAAATGCTTTTTTATATATTTAAAGATCTGCTTTCCCTTTTGCTAACCTATTTAAAAAACTTTTATTTCCCAAAGATAAGGGCCATTTGCTGAAGATCTGTCCTATATAATAGTTTTGGTTAGAAAGTGAAATCCCCAAAGCCAACTTGAATTTGGTAGGTCTGACCAAAAAAACCCCAAACAATAAAAATTCATTTAATTTTATTATAAATTATTTATACTTATTATAAAATCTACTTCTAAAATTTTACTTTATTAGGAATTAGAAAATATTAATGATAATGGTGTCAATTCTACACTCTAAAGCATTTGTAAAGCAGCCTCTCCCTGTCTGGTCCTTTTGTGTGTGTGGGTGTGTGGGGGGTGGTGTCAGCATTAGAGACCTATAAGTGGTAGCTACACCAGTGCAATTGAAGACTCTCTGGTTTTGCTTTGTTTTATGAAATCAAATCACTCAGTCTCCCCAACAGATAATTCCATTCAAAATGGTATGTCTTTAAACTTTTTATTCCTCAATTTATTACAATGGCCTTTCTACTTGGACATCCAGTAACTGTACTTGCTGCTGTGTACAGAATCATTCATCCCTCCAGAAAGGGAAAATAATTTCCCCAGGACCTGTGAAATGGGTCCACTAGGTGTTACCCCTCCAAAGGCTTCCCATCCTACTTGAATAAACCCCAGATGTTTACTATCACCTGCAAGCCCATGTCCCAATGCCCCAAATAATGCCTAGGGCCTTCATAGCATCTAGTTTGCACCATACCACCTCCAGCAAGCTTGCTAATCTGGCTTAAGTTCCCTTTGATTTCTTTCAAACCCATCTAATTTATTTAAATCTTTTATCCAGTATTTCTCAGAAGAGGTGTCCATTTCCGTAGTCTACCATTTTCTGAAACCACTTTATAAAGATTCTCTTTTACAATGCTACCAACCGTGGAGATAAGTATTCTGAGGAGACTGAAGGTCATCTTTACTGAGTGGCAGAGCCAAAATTCAAACTCCGATTTGCTTCACCCCACAGCTCTACTCTTCCCTTCTTATACTGCATGACTCTCAGAACTAGAATTACCTGGTTAAATGGTGCTTGCTAAGAAGATTAGAAGATTTTTTCCCTGCCATTACTAATGACTAAGAGTTCAGGGTGAATTACACTTTGACCAGTAGTTGGTTATTAAAAGAGGTAACACCAAATACAGTTTTAATTGATTTGTGCTTTTCATACCAGTAGAGTTAGCATTTATCCATGACCACTGCTACCTCTTTTTATGCTTCCGTGTGTTGATTCCACAGGTGGTGCCCCACCTTGGGCAGAGTGCACAGCTCATCATAAATGAAATACTATGAAATACTATCACGAATCAGGGCCTATTTGGAAAATAAATAGCTACTGATTACCAGAGACCAATGAAGGAAAAAGCAAATTTACTAAAATAATTTCTTTATTTGAATAAGGTCAATGTCATTTCTTTAATTCCAGCTAGCATCAAATAACAATCAGAAAAAAACACTTGACAAAATGTTATCCAATTGAAATAAACAGTGGATAGAAAACTCTTTTAAATTTTAAAAGCAATATATTAAACAGGCAACATACAGATCTAAAAAGTTGCAAGTGGTGATTTCACATTAGATTGCATAAATAAAAAATTCCCCAATATAATCATTTGTTCATGATCTCCCTGCGAAAAGCACAGGGGCAGGGAAAGATATCAAATCTTAATATTCACAACTGTCATGTTCTCTACACAGACACTGTGTCTCTCCAATGTAGTGGACCTGGCAATCCCTTATTCAAGTAATTTCTGTTTTCCCCAAGTTATCAAAAAGTACAATTGTCTGAGATAAAATGTCACAAAAATCGCAATCAGGAAAGCAAAAAGTTTTAGCAGGCAGATGTGAAGATGAGAGTTTTCATGGTTTGACCATGATCTGAAAATGATTTTGTAAGTTTAAAAGCCATCAACCAAAGTACAAAGGGCTACAGGCAACAATCTGGGTTTAGTTGGTAGCTGCTACTAAACCGCGAGTTTCAGTAAAAAGACCATGAATTAAACTGGAAGTATAAAAGAATCAGTGCACACTGCTAATACCACTGACAATGAAAGTGTTATATTATGCTCTCAGCTCAGCTTTAAGCCAACAAAACAGCACTTATTTTTTCCCCACTCTTCTTAGTGGTTCTCAAACAGTGTACTCAGAATCACCTGAGGTGCCTGTTGAAAACTGATTCGGAAGCTGACTCCTGAGTTTTGGTTCAGGTGGTTTGGAATGGAGTCCTAGGATCTGCACACTTAACAAGCACTTCAGGACCCGGAAGGCCCATGGACCACACTGTGAGAGACACTGATATCCCCTCAGTAAGTAACAAAAAATTGTTTATTATTTGTGGTTTCACAAGAAAGTTTCCAGCGGCTTAAAACATCCAAACATTTAGAACACAAATAGGCACATTAAATAAGGGTGTCAGCCATTATGTAATTGCATTTCTTTTTAAAAGTGGCATCATAAGCTCAACTTACACTAACATTTAAAAATCAATTTTGTTTTAATCCAAGGCACCTGTAAAACACTTGCTGGTGTGAGAGAAGTTAACAAGTTCAATTATACAAAACAGTACAGAAATGAAAGAATCCTGGCAGTGACAGATTTTTCCACAGAGCAAACATTTTTCTTCAGCAATGAGCTTTTAAAGTCAATCATTTTGAGGAAAATAAAACAAATTTCAGTTAATATGATAAACACCAGTGTAAACTGCTCGGCTGAGTAATTTTTAGCAAATTAAATTACTAAGTAGAAAAGATTCATGCTCATGATCTTTCATAATAGCTGTCTCCAATTCTGTTAGGAACGATGAGCATGGTTCCTCCAGAATTTCAGCCTGAAAACGCGCACTGCATGGACTGGTATTCTTCTAAGTTCAGGCACACGTGACCATGGATTTATAATACTGAATATTTGGAAGCCTTTTATCTCAAGAGGATTTCCAAGTTCACAGTCTACAACTTAAACACTCTTCTGAAGGTATTAATTTTCATGAAATAAGAGTAAGTTCTGTGATGATGGTGTCTCTCAAACATGAATTCAAAATGTTAACACTATAAGGAAAAACACTAGGGAAGCATTTTTTATGTTGCAGTGACTGGAGTTGAGCCAGTAATCATTAGGATATTCTTGTTCAGTGTTCTAGGATAAATGCTAATATAAAAAGCAACGTCAGGACTGTTTGCATATATAGTTCAAGTTAGGTGCTACTTCATAGTCTTTGTATAGATTATAACCAGTTAGCCTAATCTGTAAATGACATTTTAAAATAAATTTATGAAGGTTTAGAAGAGTTAAATAGTTCTATTTTACAAAAGAGTATTATTTCAGATTCTATGTTAAATGGAAGATAACCACTTTAGCTAAAAGCGATAAGGGGGTTTTGAAGCCAGCAAAAATAAGTCTACATCAGCTGTGAAAACAAAGTGCATTTTAAAATGTCATTGACAGACTGTTTCTCTGATACCTAGGACCCTGTACAAAGACTACACCAACTCCTTCCAGTCTGACATTTCGAGGGGAAGCTTACTAACAAGTACTTCACAATGTCCTCAGTTCTGACTTGAAAGAAGGGAATCAGAAGCATTAACTCTGTTTTTCAAATTCTGCCTTCAAAGATCCTAACCCTGCTCCTATCCAGCCTCCTTGATTTACATGAGCATGCAGTTGCTAACACCAGGCTGCATGGAGTAATGTAAACCAGAACACAGTGGTGGGTTTTGTGAACTAAAATATCCTCCGAACATGCAATGTGAACTGAACTTACAGGCTGCACAAAAGGGGAGAAGTTCCTTAAATTACAACTACAGACACAACAGTATTTTCATGATATTGAACTGACACTTGTAGAATGGAGACGTTCAAGCATATGAACGATCATGAAATGAACACATCACCAGGTAAAGTACTCATAAAAACTATTGTCAGAGGAATGCGGTCACCTAAATTTTTTTTTAGGCAGCTCTTAATTTCCCCCTAAAATTTCCATTAAAGGTGAAATATATCATTGATAATGAGAGGGAAAAATACTTCGAAAAACATTATGAAGCTTATTATCCAGATCCTAATGCTCTCAGACAAAATATTCTTTGATGTCAGAGGGAGTAGTATTAGATTGCAGGACTGCAGGGTTGGGTCTTAGAGTAGAAAATTCTGGTATCTTAAAAAAGACTTTGTTACAAAATAATCATGAGGAGCTCCTAGTCAGACCTCATATTTGGAGGGCAGGAGGGCAAGTGTGTTTATTTTAAATAGAGATCTCCAACATCTGAGACTTAGAGGTAACTTTCATATCTGGGGGTTGCCCCATTTTCTATTATTTACCCTCTTATTTATCAATATTCTGTTCAGTGGCTATATTCCACTGGCCAAAAATTCAGTGAAATTTAAATAGATTTTATGTACTATGCACAAATTTACACATGGTTGTCTTTAAGGTCTACTCTTACCGCAAATCAATGTTTAAAGTTCTTTTATACAAAATTTAATAATTTAGCCTATGAAGCAATTTAAATACTTACAGTCCCTCAAAAAGACAACATTTTGTACATACATACATGATGTACACATATGAAAATGGTGGTCAAAAGAATTTTTTGGCAGCTGCTTCTTGCTGAGTCCTAAGGAAAAAGAGAAAAAAAAGCCACAAAGAATTTCTATATATTTTTCTTTGGAAAGAAAGAGGATTGCTTAAAATTAAAATATACGTCTTTTGAGGTATAAAATACATTAAGATATGCATACATTTTGTACATACATGCCCATATGAACTGAAATAGACTTGAAATGATATTTGCTTTGTATAAGCCTAATTTATAAGTATTGAAAGTTCTGGTATGAACACAGATAACTTTATCGAGTATTTCAAATTAAACACAAAAATGTTCGGTCAAATTTTAGAAACTTACCTATACATGATGTAACCAATGAATAACACCGTTTGTATCACTACAAATAGAATGAAGTGAACCGTAGATAAACATGATGGAAATGGTGGTAGTTCTGGGCATTTTGGTCTTTCATTTGATGGCTATAAGGCAAAGAACACTCTTAGAAAAAGAAATGTGAAATCTCTATAAAACTCATGGCTTCCTGTGTAAACTCAAGTATTTCCACTTATTCATCCTATAAATACCTTCCATCCCCTTACTTACACCACCAAACTTTCTGAAAGAGTGGCCGACACAGGACAGCTTCCACCTTTCAGTCTATTCACTAACTCACTGCCCACTGCCTCCTATCTTCATCAAAGTGACAATTATTTTAGTGTTCCTGAAGGTCACAGACCACAAATTCCCCGGGTACTACCAGTGGAAACTTGCTGCACTGGAGTAATTCTTAATGGTATCACCTTCACCAGGGTAGCCATGTAATTGTCTGAACCAGAACACTTGAAAGCATTCAGCATCACTCTCAGAAGTGCTCTGGTTCAGACAATCACACGGCTATGCTCCCAACGAACTGCTGACAAATCTAATGGCTTGATTGCTGCTCTTGTAGCATTCAACATTACTAATTAGTATTTTGAAAAATGTTTCTGCCCTGGCCGGGTAGCTCATCCGGTTAGAGCATCGTCCCCATACACCAAGGTTGCAGGTTCCATCCCATCAAGGCACATACAAGCAGCAGCCAATGAATGCATAAATAAGTGGAACAACAGATCAGTGTTTCTCCTCCACCCCTTCCTCTCTTTCTAAAATCAACTTAAAAAATAAAATAAAGAAAAATGTTTCCTTTCCCATTTCCATGAGTATTATAAGGAGATAATTAAATATCAGGGACAAAGATTTCCTCAAGGTATGCAGACAGAATGGTTTCTAAGAGTATTTGTTTTCAATATGCTTACATCTATGGGACAAAGTTCTTCAGTATGTATATATAATACCCACAGCATCAACTTGGTCATTTCAACAAAGGCTCAAGTGGGGGAAAAATAACCTCAAACAGAATAAGATAATAATGCTTACGATGAGGGTTAGTGGTCAATAAGAAAACTAATAAGCCACATTTGGAAAATTGGAAGGGGAGGAGGCAAATGCTACCAGCATTTGTGACTTTTATAAGGATTTTTAAAGCAAATAATTAAGAAAAAACTTAAAGTTTCAGAGGTCTGTCTTCTAATATTATCTTATATACATGTTTAATTTCAAAAAATGTTACCTATTTTTAATATTTATTGCCAATCTCCAATAATGTAGATGGGGCTTACATTATTAAAAATACCTGATAAAGTAAAACAGAAAAAAACAAAAAAGTTTTAAAAACGAAACAAGACAGGAAAAGTAGCTAAAAAAAAAAAAGAATCTTGCTTAGAGAAAGCTGCTATCAGATTTAGATCTGCGCTTCCTTAATGTCAGAGAGAGAAATGTGGGTTACCCAGCATGGTTTGTCAGTCTAACACAAGAGTTTGCCAAGAGAGACATTTACCTTTTAAAGTTGTTGAAAGGTTATTACTGAAAACAAGAACCTTGTTTTGTTTTTTTAAAGAAAACTTACAGAAAAGAATCTAGGGGAAAAAAGTCCGAGATTATGACAGTTCCACTAATTGGAACAGCAATTAATTAAAAAAATAATAGTTCTCTTCAGTAAGCTATGGAAGCATGACAGAGAACTTATAGCATACAGAACAATTCTACCTGAATAGAGGGGTGGGAAAAAGTAGGTTAATAATAATAAATACAATAATTGATAAATACCAGAATAAACTCTGTTTCATGTACTCACAACAGTAAACCTATTTTTGCCCACCCCTGTATTATAAAAGAGCATTCAGCACTCACTAAATAGTTAAAACAGTTTCAGTAGAATTAGTAGAATATGTGTCCTTCCTTTCCTAGAAAAGGCTGGTCCTGAGGCTGAAGGAAGAGAGCTCACCGCGTTTCGCAGCACGAGGCTCTCTATGTCCCGCTTCACTATGTGAAGATGCTCTTTGATGTCGTTGAAGTGCTGGGTTGTCTCGTAAACGCCCCCTGCAGACCCAGGATGCTGGATGCCGCTGACCAGCCTGATGGTTTCACTCATAGAATTCCTTCAACAGAAAATCCCTTTAGACAATGGAATCACTAGAAAGATTACTTTTTTCTGTCACAGATTTCAAATGGTTAGATATACTTCTAAGCTCAATATATCAGATCATAAAAAACAGATAAAGAATATCAATATTTTTAAAAACTGAATTGTCTTCAACAACTGGAAAATAACTTATGAAACTATAACTTAACATTATACCTTTATCTTTTATTAAAAGTCATCTAACCATATAGAGAATAACACTAAATAACTTGTGTTAAAACCAGTATTATAAATGGGTACTATATAACATAATGGATGACAATTTTAATGAACTTAAATCTTTCTAGGGTGTTTAAATGCTATGCAGTAAAGAATTAACCCTTCAGGCCTGGGCTGCCCAAACCCTGTACATTCCAAGGGTTTTCAGGACTGGCTATTGACCCCAGGAGGTAACCTCTAAGCCTCTGGGATATCCTGCTTGATTTAAGAGTGTTCTTGTCTGCCTGGGAACTTGGACCCCACCAGATAGTTTAATGCTAACAACATGATTTATGTTTTTGTTTGCCTGGGGCCTTCGATGCTGTATCAGTTTGACCCCTAGGGGGACTGCAGACTGAGTAGTTAAGTCACATGGGTGTCTCATGACTATGTGACTGGCACCTAATACAAATCCAGGAGGCCAGGGCTTGGCGAGCTTCCTTGGTTGGCAACACGAAACACGTCACATGTCACTCCTGAGAGGAATAAGTACTGTGCATGGACTCCACTGGGGATGGGGGACAACTGAAAGCTTGAGCCTGGTTTCTCCAATTCCACCCTACTTACCTTTTTCCTTGGCTGATTTTATTCTATCCTTTTGTTATAATAAAACATAACTGTGAGAATAGCAGATTTTCTGAGTTCTGTGTACTTCTAGCAAATCACAGAACTAGGGATAGTCTTGGGATCCCTAAGTCGGACGTAATTCTATTTCCCCTTACAGTTCTCTCAGATAGCCCCAATATACAAACCTACTGCCTTGGCTAGAACTCAGCTAAAGAGGCATCTCTGTTTCAAATATGAAGGAAAAATTGGTTGGTTAGCATACTGAGCAGTGGTATGTCAGTCTTTAATGTATCATCTTTCTGAAGGGTAATTTTGATTTTATACATTTCACTTTACACATATTGACTTCAGAATATAATCTCCATGTAAAATGTGATTCCACTATTTAGATATAAGATCAAGACGACCACTGAGAGGTGCAGTGGTGGGCTGGGTCACGGGGCTTGAGGAGAGTGGTATCTTGTATGAGTAAGCTATGATCAAGAAGGAAGAAGGATGCTAAGCAGCTTAAGTATTATTACAGGGACAGGCCAAAGGCAGAGAAGAGGATAACTAAGGGCAACCCGGGAGAATATGTAAAAATAGTCATGTGACAATGCATAGGCCAGCCCTGGCTGGTGTGGCTCCGAGCTTACAGCGTTGGGCTGCACACTGCACACTGAAGGGTCTTGGATTTAATTCCTGGTCAAGGGCCTGTACCGGGTTGCAGGCTTGATCCCTTATCCCAGTTGGAGCACATGTGGGAGGCAATAAATTGATGTTTCTCTCTCTCTCTCTCTCTCTTCCCCTCTCCCCCTCCCCTCCCCTTCCCTCTTTTCCACTCTATCAAAAATCAATGGAAAAATATCCTCAGGTGAGGGTTAACAAAACAAAAATGCCTAGTACAGTACCTAGAACGCATTAGGTATATGATAAATAAGGTAAGTAAACATGAAATGCTAAATGCTGTCTACTCACCAAAAAGAGCATTTAATACTTTGAATTCAACAGTTAAAATATATAACCAATTAACAAATGACACAAACTACCACATACAAATGGCAAAGTTCAAAAAATATTTGTAACTCTGTCCACTGAAAAGGCCTAGAAGCAATGACAATCCAGAAGCAATGAGCACTTGACTGCCTATAAACAACATTTCCCACTGAAACACCAGGGCTCCAAAGAAAAATGGCTTTGCCGGGTGTGGGACAGAAATGTACAAGAGAAACCTGGAAAGACTTATGCTGGAAAAGAAGGAAGCCACTGAAGATTACCTGGTTGTGTTGATAGGATGCTGACGCTAACTTGACTGGGGGCGCTAGTGGCCAAAGATGAGACAATTTGAACATTAATTATAAAGACTAGTGGCTCGAAACAGCAAGACCTTAAAACCCATGAGTTGAAGGAAAAACATCCCCTTGCTACCTCTCATTTAACCTTGGAGATTGCCAGGGCCCTGGCTTACTATTCTGAAAAATGGTAAGGAGAAAGAATCAAGTGTTTATTCTGCCTTTTCCGAATTGGCTCAGGATAACGAGTGATGGGGAAAATTCTAATTTTTAAATGGAGAGGAAATTTTAGGATGTGAGAGTCACCCCTCTTTGACCTCTGATGAAATGATAGATTCAGGCGATGGCCATCACTGGCTACTAAAACTTAAGAGTGGTCGAAGAGGCATTTTATCATGAACGGCTCAGGCTGACACTGGGGTATCTATCAGTTACTGCTGAACGTGGATGACAGGGTTATGAGGGAGGGCTCTTGTTCGCAACACTTTTTACGTTTGAAAATTTCTGTAAGGCTTTATGATATCCTAGAAATAGCACTTGAAAGTGAAGAGATAATGAGAACTAATTCTGACTCTGTTTTCATATTGTGATCTTGTATCATCCAGGGCCTTTCTTTCTTTTTGTAAACCAAAGGGGATCGAACTCCATGCTTCTGCTAAAAAAGTAATTCTACAATTCCCCAAGAATATGAAAATCCATAAAGACACAAACCACCCTAACCATAAAAGGCATATATTATATCTCTTTACATTTTTTTCTGAAACTTAATCCTGAAGAAACAGCTCTAGAGGACAAATTAAGAAATCTGAGTTCAGTTTTTATACTAACTTATTGTATATATGACATTTGGTCTCGGTAAGTGGGAGTTTACAAGGACTGCTAACGACCCTGATTAAGTGCTTCCAAGGATAATACAAATGGATGGCTAGGAATTACTAATCACTAATTGAATCTTAAGATGTTCTTAGCATTACTGTTGAGTAAGACAAGCAAAGCACAAGAGTATCTAGAGCAGGCTACCATCCACATAAGAAAGAAGAAAGTCTGAGAAAATACATATGTGCTGAAGTACAGGAAGAACAAACTAGAAATTAATGGGATGAGTCACTAACAGGGGTGGGTGAAAAAGGCTGAAAAGAAGGAAAGAATGGGAAAGGGACAGCAGTGATGAAAAGGGAGTGAAACATCAATGGAAAAAAAAATATATGTACACACACACACACACTAGCTCTTAGAACCCATAGTATTCACCTATCCTTCATATACCCAAAACATAAACAGTTAAAATCAACCGGATATAGGAGGAATACAACCACTAACAAAAAACCTAACTGTATTATAAATAAATATCATAAACATACTGAAGAGAGTGGGGAAAAAGAGAATTAAACTACCTGGAAAACCATGTCTGGACTGCAGGCGAAAGAACTTGACATAAATCTGTCAGTAAATGTGTTTCTCACAGGGATATGTGTTAACAATTTGAAACCACTTTATGTACACGCTAAAATTAAACCAATAAGAAAATACCTTATAGATACTAAGAACCAGGTTTCTCCCTGTTGGAGAAAGAATTTTCAAACAGGAGAAGGAGAAAGGCCAAAATGAACCCTGTACTGTTCAGTCTAGTCCAGTCCAGTCCAACTAGAATCCTAAGTATCCACATAATCCCATGGTTTTTTAATACAAATGTTGTGATGGATACAAAAATAGACATATGTGTACATGTGTGGGTTAGTATACATTCATCCATTCTGTAGCTCTGTCCACTAAGAGGGCCTAGAATCAATGGCATCCCAGTAGTAATGAGCACACCTAGTGCTCAGATCTTGGTTTCTAAATACCGTTCTCCAATAAAAGGAATCAGGACTCACTGGAGAAGTGGCTGATTCTAGAGCTGGAGCAGAGAAAATACAAGATGCGCCTGAAACACAGTGTGGCATCAGAAAGTAAAGAGATGCATAAAAAATGATGGGGATGTGTCAAAAGAACACAAAAGCCAACCTGGAGAGGTTTCTAATGGCCAGAGCTGGGACAATTTGAACAAAATAAATAATGATAGTACTAAATTATAACCCTTAGGATAAATATTCATGAGTCCATACTGATATAAATAATTGATTAAATAAATAAATGGGGGAGAAGAAATATCTGGTTCATACAAAATTTCAATAAATAAATGTAGAAGAAATGATGGAAATAGAAAAATCAGCATTTGGTAAATATCACATTCTTGTTTCAGGCAAGACATCAATGATGCTAAAATGTGAGCAAAAGTTTAAAGTGAAACAGAGTATTTCCTAAAATATTTAAACAAGGGAAAGACAGTAACTTTAAAGTAGAGAAACTGGGAAGGAACTATCATAAGTAAGTGATCACAGCCAACATCACCAGTAATAAGACATATGGACATCATAAACATGATACACTGTTGTATCATTGTGAAAAATGTAGAACCTCTATTCAGTCATGAGCAAATACCAACAAATCCAAACTGAGGGACAATAAACCAAATGAGTGATCCATGCTCTTGGAATCTGCATAGTCATGAAAGTCAGTGATGAATTATTTCAGACTGCAGAAGTCTAAACAGAAATAACTAAATGCCTTGTGAGATCCTGGATTGGATCTTAGAAGAGAAAAAAGGCATTAGTGGAAAACTGCTGAAATGTGAGTAAGATTGTTAGTTAATAGTACTGTACCAATGTTAATTTCTTAGTTCTAACAATTATACTGTCTATGTAAGATGTTATATTAGGGAAAGACGGGTGGGGGATATATGGAAATTATATTCTTTTGAAACTTCTGAAGTCTAAAATTAGATCAAAATAAAGATTAAAAATATGTTACATGAACTAGTCTATTTCTAAAAGTACTTAACTATTCATTTAGCATCATAAATATTTTAATGAGTTTACAACTTGAAGATTTTTTAAAATGCCAAACAGTACAACTGAAAGAAATACAAATTTGCTGTTAAAGTTGGGTTGCCTTTAATGTCTAGGTGTTTGATAGTTTCACCTTTTAATTAACCTAATCCTGTTTAGTTTTACCAGTCCCAAAGAACTCATATGACATTCCTGTTTCTCAAGGGTTGTACTGGTTGGTGCAGTGCTCTAAAGTATTAGCTTATGAAACATGACATTTTGGCTGTTTCTCTGCTCCAGGCATTGAAAGCTGTTAATCATCTGCACACGTGGATCCTTTTTAGAAACTTATCAAAGTTCCAAGGACACAATATCTCCTCTCTGCTCCAACTCTTTGTCCAGTCCCTCTTAGAGTACAAGATGGAATGAAAAAGAGGTCGTCACACATAGCATATTTCCTTCAAAATTTTTTTCTTCCATCATGAGTTCTTGTATCAGGTATGCTTGTACTACAGTCCTACAATGCTATGCATGCTTACTGCCCTAGTATTTTTCAAAGAATTGTTATATATTACTCATATTCTTTTTATATTTCAGAAATATATGACTAGTTCTACCTGTCAAGTAACTGTGACAAACCTATTTTTTTAAAGATGCTACAGCATTTCCTTCTTTTCTAGCTTAGAACAATTAAAAAATTAGACGTTTGTAGTTTCTAAATGTCAAAAGTTCCTGTATCTTACATTCCCCTATTTATGAAATCAATCTAGAATGTGATTCTTACACTCATGCAGGAATCTTAAATAATGTGCTTCACAATGCCATGAAACTAGAAATCAACCACTATAACAATAATGTGCTGGTATACCTAGAGAAGTCACAAATTTAGGATGAAACAAGCATGTAACACTCAGACATTACTGTTGTATACTTACTTCACTTCATTTACATGTCTCAGAATCTCATGCTGAGCGTTCACAACAGTATCCAGTTCTTGTTGAGAGATCTAGAGGAAGAACAAAAGACGGGTAGCCAGCTCAATAATCCACATTCTACAGGAACACCCAGCGCAGTAGCCTTTCTTTTCTACCTCTCTTCTCCATCAGGTCAACTAACTTGGGCATATCTGCGTATTTCAAAAGCTCACCTGTCCATGTTGCCCTGGGATTCCTGCTCCTCTTTTAGAGATCTCCTCCGTCAATGAAGAGACGTATTTTCTCTGTTCATCAAGAATCATATCTAACTGTCGGTTCAGCTGCTTGATTTCAAGATGAATACGATTCTGTCCTTCAAAGATTTGTCTCAGCTCACGATCTCCTACACTCTCAAATATTTCATCTGCTGAAGTGGAAATCACAGATTAAAATTATTAGAATCACCTATGCACATGTAGTTTTCAAAATACCATAAGTGACAAAGGTACCAATATATACTAAAATTAGAACATCACCAACACAGTAGTATAATCTCAACAGTGAACATGTAGATAATGAACTCAATTATGATTAAATTACTATTTGTTTTTGTCATGTTTGGTGGTTGAACATTTACTATAAATTGAGTCTGAAGTTTTTCACCTAAAAATAATTTTCTCTGTAAAATATACTGTGTGATTCTCTTTATGTGATTGGGCAAAACTAATCTATATTAATAGGAATCAGAATAGTTACATCTATGCAGGGGCGCTGATATTGAAAGAGGCACGGGGAAACTTTCTGGGGTGTTAAAAATATTCTGCGTACTGATCTGGTTGATGGTAAATGGGTATTCATGTCTGTCAAAGTTCATCAAACTATACTCTTAAAATCTGTGCATTTGACTTGCATGAAAGACTAAGAAATGGAATGACGAGGGCCTGAGTGTCCTTTCATACCTGACCATACTGAAAATAGCTAATTTCATTCAAACACTATAAAAAGCTTCAAGATATACGCACAAATCACATGTGATATCTGAAACAAATCTAAGAAAAGAGTAAAATCCATCTTTCATTTTTAGCTTAGTATGAATCATACTGTTGATCACTTAGGAATCACATACTAATAAACAGTTCAACTGTGCTGATGGAACAACCCAGATAACAAAAGTTAGCAAATAAAATAAAGTCAGTCTATTTGGCCCTAATGTGTTTTATTTTTTGACATGTAGCACATTTAGGTTCTTAATTACAGGGGCTTAGACATGTATTTTAAAACTTTCAACCTTTAAAGTCCAGAATTCTGTTGAATAGTAAGGGGAGAAAAGCCAGATAATCATTTCACATTACTCTCATTTCACATTATTGGGAATAGTTTTGACAGTTTTCAAGTATTTTTGCTATATAAATAATGTAATTGTGTGCAACAGTAAGGAAAGAAATCAACCTTGGACAATTTCATTCAACATATATTTACCGAGTTTCAACTACTAGGTCAGCATGGTTTTTCCTCAGGTTTAGGGAACACAGCAGTAAACACAACAAAGTCCCTGTTCTCATGGGGCTTACACTGCAGTGGGTCACTGCTCATCCAGGGCATCACGGGAGTCCTTACTGCACACTTCACTATATCACTCTGACTGGTGAAAGCATCCATCTCCAAGCCGTTTAGACTGAAGATTTGCTCACAGACTGTTTCCAGAGATGACCTGGCATGTGCCAGATAAAAGGATGAGCAGAAAGAAAGTGTGTGGGGAAACACACGGGTCACCATGAATGCTGCAGTCCTGAGGACAGCTTCGCTACAACTCACCTGGTTGCCCTTGAAGGTCAGGGTGGTCCTTCTGAAATTCTTCTTTTTTTTTATCCAATTCTTGTTGAAAGTGCTCAAATTCCTCCTGATATTTTTCTTTTTCTGTTTCTGAAATTTCTTTATCTGGTGTAGGCTTTTTTGGAGTTTAAGAATAGATCATTAAAAAAAGAAAAAAATAGAAAATAATAAACCTCAATATATGTCCTTTTTCTCATTTTAACTACTCCACTACTAGTTAAAAGGTTAACATAAAAATGTTCATATTTAAATCATAACTGATTTACTTTTGCTACTACTAATTCCAACAAATACTACTAGCCATTCCCATTCATCTAGTGCTTGCTGGAAGTGCAGTATTTTTTTTTGGTTAATCCTCACCTGAGGATATTTTTTCCATTGCTTTTCTGAGTAGAAGGGAGGGAACATTGATGTGAGAGAGTCACATTGACTAGTTGCCTCCTGCAGGTAGTGAACCTGAAACCCAGGTACCTGCTCTTGACAGGGAATCGAACCCTTGACCCTTGGGTGCACAGGACAACACTCTACCCACTTAACCACATTCGCCAGGGCTGGAAGTGCACTGTATTATTTAACACTTATAGACGTCTTGTGATACCAATACAAACATCTCAGTTTCCCAGCAAAAAAATGCTAAGTAACTCATACAAGGTCATATGGTAGAACTGGCAGAAACAAGAGCCAAACCTAACTCAGTGCCCCAGGTTTTCAGCTATGAGGCAATACTACTAATCTGAAAATAAACCTTTTGAAAAACTGTTTATACTTACTGGCTCTTTCCCAGGCTCAGTCAATTGGAAAGTGAGGAAAGAAAGGACATCATGATCATCTATAAATTTAAAAAAAAAAAATTGGGAAAAGTTCCATAATAGGTTATTTTTATAGTTATGAATCTACAGATACCTATTGCTTTAAAAATTAATAATCATAGGGGAAATAAAAACTAGCTCCACTTTGGTAAATGCAATGGTGCTCTGTGAGCTTAGACAAAAATTCATCGGAAAGATTTACATTGGAAAAGCGAAATTCACTCTCTTAAATCCTAAACCAGAACATTTAGCAGTGTTTAAAATAAAACAGATGTCTAATAAATGTCTGATGAGGGAATGAACAAACGAAGGGTCAAATCAAGCCCAAACTCCTAACCCTTGCACCAAGATCCCCTCATATTTTCCCACAAATCTTCATGGACTATGTCCCAGCCAAATGAGACAAAATCCTGTCCACGTATTTCCTGTACCTATCTGTCTCTACCTACCTTTCTTATGGCACTTACCACTTCCTGCCTTACTTTCTGGCTATAAACCCGACACTGCTCTGTCTCTGGCTTACAGGGAGTGTCCTGATTTATCCACATTGTCCTGGTATTACTAAAAGCATCTCCTTTTACTCTCAAAGTGTCCCAATTTAGATAATATGATTACTCTACCTATACAGCATTCATATTTGTTTCTCTCACACAGCAGGTATTAATAATTTTGTTTTATCTAAAATCAAATAAAAAATAAAATTAATTTTACACTGTTTAAGCTGAAAATAGGGACCTAGAAGATCAAACCTCATTACATCAAACTGAAACACCAATCCTGGCTGGTTACATCCACAAAGCAAGAGCAATTAATTTCAACTGTGGCAATCTCTAAGCTTTCTCCCGCTATTATGGAGATCTAGATGTGCAGCCAGATTAAAGAGAAAATTATAATACTACAGTGTAGGTTAGGTAACTTTAGGAGCAGTCATGCAATGCAAGAGAGCCCTGGACTCAGGAGAAATCCACACCAAGTCCTGCCTGGGTCTGACCATTATTAGCCATGTGATTTTAGAAAGTTCTTTAATCCAACATTTGGCAAACTCATGTAAGATCAGATAAAAATCTGTCCTCTTTCTCTCCCTGTTTTGTTGTTAAGGAACAATTCATATATTTGAAAATAATAAAAATATTATGTAATGTATCACATAAACACAAGACGGTATTAATGTCAAATGATAAGTTCACTTTTCACCACATGTGGGAAAAAATGGCAAATATATCTTGTTAACATTTAGTCCTCGATAATATTTTCTGAGATACCAAATTCACGTAAATGTGTCGTGACACCTCTTAGGACCCTAAAACATTTGACAATTAACCTTTACAGCCCTGACTTTAAATGTCTCCTGCACATTGAAATGGCACCTAAGCTGATGCTCTAACTTACATTAGTGTATGTAGCCCCAGCCATCTGTATCCCTGCAGAATATAAGTAGAGAATTAGCAATCCCAAGAGACCAAAAGATCGACCCTGCAGGCTATGGGAAGCTCACAGCTAGTCTTAAAGGTTAAAAGTAAACAAGTCTACACACCTTCCAAATACACTATTCCCAACAAAACTCAATTCACAAACTTTCAATGTTAAAGGATAGCAAGATTTACCTGCAAGGCCTCCAGTAGCAGCAGATATTCCAAAATGCCCTTGTGCAGGGATGACCATATTTTCCACTTTGGCACAAAATTCATAATCATTTTTATCCGGTGTGAAGCCATTATTGATCATTACCTAGAGAGATGTACAGTAGCTACAGCTTTTACAACAGACATTGTAAAAGGAATTCCAAGTAGTCAATTTATGACTAATGTGAGCTGATCTATATGTGGTCTAATAACCAATTGTCAGAAAGCTATCGGCTTTCTCTCATTATCATAAAAGATAATTCCTTGTCCGCTAAATAACCTCGCTTATTTTTGGTACATTATACAAGATATTTCACTTAATAAAATGGTTTTTACCCTGCTATGTGCCAAAGCTTAATGAAAAAAATATACAATAACTTTCCACGAAAATCTTTCTAAAATAGAATATGGTTCGCTTTTCTTAAGAATTCTTAGGGCCGGGCATGGCTCAGTGGCTGAGCACCGACCTAGGATTCAGGCGATCGGGATTTGATTCCCAGGTCAGGGCACATGCCCGGGTTGTGGGCTAGGCAGCCGATCAATGACTCTCTCATCATTGATGTTTCTATCTCTCTCTCTCCCCCTCCTTTCCTCTCTCTGAAATCAATAAAGATATGTGTGTTTTTTTAAAAAATTAGGAAGGTAATTGGACTGTCATTAAGTTAGCAGAGAGACAGCAAAAGTGTCAGAAGTCATATTGACAAAAAATGTGGAAAATGAAAACACTGAAAAGACACTGTTTCTACTCTGCAGAATGTATTTTTGAAGTAATGACCCTAAATGTTGTAAAAGAATCTTGGAATTCTAAGCACAGGAATCCACCCGACACATGACTACTCTTCTCATGACCCCAGTCCAGCAGTGGTCTAGCCTCCTCAATACCTTTCAGTTCCAGCCTCCCCACTCCCCCATCAAGTAGAAACAAACTGCCGCTTTTGGCTAGTTAATGGTACCACTTAGTTGTACAACCGGCCAGAAATTCAGGAACTACCTGACTCCACAACTGCATCCACCCTTCCACCCTGAAGCAACCTAGTACTAAGTCCTGTAGTCTCTACCTCCCAATCACTCTTCTTAATGCAGACCACAAGTACAGTCTTAAGAGTTAAGATGCTGTTGGGTTCAAATCAGTTCTGCTACTTATTTGGTATGACATTGTCCAAGTTACTTAAACCTCCCATATTCAATTTCCCCATGTAACTGGGGATGCCCACCCCATAGGGCTGGTAGAATAAATGAGAAACTGCATGTAAAGCATCAAGCACAGGGCATGGCCCATTATGAGTCAAGGAGTCTAAATGATCGTATCTTTTGCTCCTTTCACAAATACCATTATAAGAACACTGCTGCTTAAGTCTTCTTCCTAAATTGCAAATCTGATCATTTTACTTTCCTTCTTAAAACTCTTTAAACAGTTTCTTATGAGACAAACTACACAAGACCTGAAAAACTTGTTACTGTCAGCCTTTTACCTCACTTTTACAATTTCCTGTCCTCCAGCCATAGCAAACTTTGTCTTTCCCCAATTTTTCAATAGTCCCTATGCCTTGTCTTCTCTGCCTATAATACGCACCTCACCTAGGAGATTCCTACTTCTCCTCCAAGCTACACTCTTTAATGGTATCTGTGTTGTAGCATTTATTACATACCATGGTAATGCTACTACACAAGTGTCTCCTGCATTGGGCTACAAACTCTTTGGAGAAAAGGACCTTTGTCTTAATCATCTTTGTATCCTGAATGCCTGGATATGCACATAATGTGTGCTACATAGTAGGATGTTTAAATATTTACTGACTAAATGCAAACCTAGTGGCCAGGTTATATAACACACGACCACTTACATCAAGCTTTGCAACCACTTGTTTTCTCATATTAACATTGATGAGTACATGAACAATATCCCAATGTAAATGCATTTAATTTCTAGCAAAGATTCAAAATGAAAACTCATATGAGAATACTCTTCATTTGATTATCACAAAAAACATGGTACTTACTGTCAATGTTTTCTGGTAATATATAATCTTTGCCCGGACAGGATAGGGTTTATTACGAAAGTCCCTCTGGCAACTTGCTAAAGCTTGATTAGCACCATCACTACAGTATGAGGAAAAGGAAAACAAATAAGAAACTTAAACTTCTCACTATTAAAGAAAAAAATCACTATTTAAAATGATTCATGCCTAGAAAGATTAAAATAGTATCAAGTTAAGACAAAGTCTCTGGATAACATGAGGAGCCACTGCTAGCAGGTGCTGATGGCGAGGGCAAAGCTTCTCTATTCTTCTATGTGAGACTGGGGCCTAAGTCCTTCATCCTCGAATAGAATCAGAATCACAAGGCCTGGCACCTTTATTTTAAATAGCTACACAGGTAACTACCAGAGTAAACAAATTCACTAAGGTAGGAAACAGAAAACTGGAATGGGGATGAATAAATTTTTCTTACCATTCATTGACTGGCTAGAAGGTAATTTCTCCCACAACAAACATGGAAAAATAAAAAAATGTAGATACCTAATTCCTACATATTACAAATATACTGAACATTTAGAAGCTTTGTAGCCCACCAAGAATCTTTAAACATAGCAATTGTAAGGTGGAAGAAGATGGCATACATTTCTTAGTCATTAGTTTAGTCAAGACTCTGAACTTTATTTTTGAAAGAGCCCTTTTAAATAAGATAAAAAAACATGACTAGTGGCATCGCCAAGAGTCAGGAACATTTTATTAACTTTTAAAAGTACTATACAGCCCTGGCCAAGTAACTTAGTTGGCTTGGAGCATTGTCCCAATAAGCCATGGTTGTGGGTTCAATCCCCAGTCAGGACACATACAAGAATCAACCAATGAATGCATAAATTAGTGGAAAAATAAATCGATGTTTCTCTCTCTCTCTCTCCCTCTTCCCCTCTCTCTATAAAAATCAGTAAGTTTAAAAAAAAAGTATATAATTTTAGATGAAATAAAACAACAAATTTTTATATTTAAAATCTGAGGTGGTCCATAGAAAGAACTTTAAAACAGAACCAAGTTAAAATAAGATCTTTCCATGAAATTATAAAATAAATCTCAAGAAAAATAATCTTATTTCACCTGGAAAATGTTCAGATTTGAAACAATATATTTTACAAGGTTTCCAGAAAGAAGCTGAAATCAAGGTTAATGTAAAAAACACACACTTACTTTTGATGGTCATAATGGATTTGTCCATTGTTGCCTATAATTACTATAGCAGGATTATTTTTCTAAAAATAAAGAGAATATATTTGTTTTAAAGTCCTTAGACCAAATAATTCTATATCATTCAGGATGTGCTATAAAGTGTCTTATATTTCTAATATTGTAGAACCTAAAAAAATTAAAATAATTAATAGAAGAGATTCCTACTTAATTTAGAAAACATTCAGTAAACTCTTACAATCATTCAAAAACAGTCACTTAACACCTCAATAAAGACTGGTGACATGTCCTATCTTTGAATCATCAACCTCAACATGTATCTGAAGACACACCGTGATTATGGGACAAGTGTGGGACTTGTGGAAGCTAAAACAGGAGGACTAACATGGCTTCAGAATTCAAGGATTTATTAAAAGTTCTCCCTTAAACGGCTAATAATGACCCCAGTAGAGAAAACCACCACCTCAGACAAAGATCATCAATCTTAAGGCTGTTCAAGCACAAGTTAATGTTCCCAATTCCTAAGTACATTTTGTTCTTAACTGTTTTAGGAGAGATCAGAGAAACTGGCTGATCAAAACAAGTGATTAATACATGAAACGATATAAACGTGAGCTAGTAGCAGTAATGCACATGGGTATTTTCATAAAAACAAACTATAATGGTTGACTCTAAACACTACTGGTTTCACTGTCTACATCTAAATGGCTCATGCTTATCCATCAAAATTACTGTGCACATACAGGGTGGTAGGGAGGGGGGCCTTACAAAATTCTCAGTTAGGGCTCCGTATGAAGTCAAGTTGAAGTATCAGGAACTCAGAGCTTTAAATGTGTAAATTCCCAGCTACATAAAGACTAATCTTCATACTTTGGGGAATTCTCTACTATTAAACCTACGAAAGTGTTAAGTAAGTTGTATCTCTCACAGCTTAACTGTTAGCAGACATATTAAAGTGGGTAAGAGTCCTGACAACAAATATACCTTTCCATCATTGTCAAAAGAATCGAAGAATATTCCAACACCATTCCACATATCAGCTGATCCAAACACAGGACCCTCCAAGCCTTGATTTTCTGCATACCAAACTGCCTGTAAATATATAATAGGGAACACTCAGAGGCTGGTGGTATATGCATTTATATACATTTTCTCAGTTAAAGAAATGATCATACCAGGCCATCAGCTCCAATTCGACCTCTTCCAGTCACTCGAAAAGTCACCTCAATTTCCCAGTTCTCAAAGGCTGCTTTTGTCTTTGTCCACACTGATCCCCTTTGGCTTTTTAAAGATGGTGCTATTCGAATTTGATCTGAACTTGGAATAGCATCTAGAACAAAAATCAGGGGAAAAAAGCTTTAAGTTATAATTAGATAAAACTCAATGAGTCACCACCAAACTGTTACATATACTTATAGAGATCTAATTTTAACTCAGTAACCTGTACAGTAATTTTTAGGAAAAAATTTCATGTTGACAGTTTTAAGGTTTAAATTTTAGGGCTTTCTAACACCCTTCCCCCTATCTTTTGAATAGTGAACTATCTCTTCAAAGAAAGAAGAAAAATTAAAGCTGTAACCATACACTAAAAGTGCAAGGGGCAGGAGGGAGAAAAATTTTGGCTTAAAAGGCAAACCAAATATTTGATTCTTATGTTATCTTCAAATACTTATAAAAACTGCAATGTATTTTATCAGTTTACAAATGTTTAGAAAGCTCAAACAGTGTGAAAAGAACATACTACTAGGAATCAAGAGACTTATTCCTAGTCTCAGTTCAGCTGTGTGACTTTAAGCAAATAATTCTCTTATTCTCTTGGGCTCACCATAGGTTCACCTGTAAAATGAAGGGGCTGGGTTCAATCACTTCCATAAAAACCCCAAAAGCTATGTGCAAAATTTTGTGCATATATACATTCTTCTAGGAATAGGCTCAACTGAATAAGTCAATATGTAGTGCTTCAGCATCAGAAGATTCTCAGAGATAAGAGATCCCCAAAATGGTTGTTCCCATCTCCAAGCTAGGTTCAAGTCTCAGCTCCACCACTTACTAGCTGTTTAGCAAAGGCAAGTTATTCCAATTCTCCAACAACATCAGGTATGTAAGTTCCTATACAAATGCATATAAATATCTCAATAAATGTTAGCTCTTCCTATTACTATACTAAATAATTATTAAAGCAACTATCAGGCCTAAATTTGAACAATTCTAGCACACCCTCTAGGATATTAACCAGTTCTGCCACTCATGCTGCGCAATTACTGTATTGTCTCTTTACAGGTAGGAAAAACTGACAAAAATTTGAGAAACTTTAGTAACTAGCCACTATTTGTCACTACTACTTTCAAACATTTAAGGGATGGGGGCAGGTATCCTTGAGAGGAGTACTGGATATAGAATCAAGACCTAAATTTGAGTTCTATTCTATTCACACTAGCTATGTAACCTTTTCCAAGAACCTTAACCTTTCTGAACATTCCTTTTTGCATCTATAAAACAGATAACACCTGCCTTGCAGAATTAAAACAGAATGAAGGTGAAAGAGCTCCGAGAGCAATAAGGGGTTATAAATTGTTATCATTTGTTGCCCTTATGGACTCAAGGATGTGTACTGACAGTACAAAAGGAGATTAGAGTTAACAAAAAGAAACACCATAAATTTGGTCCTAATTTGGGGATGAATGTAAAGGGCCATGTTTAAACTAAATTTTAAATTTCTCTTCTTTTCAAAATTGTTTTAAATAACGAATCTCAGGGCAAAATGAAAAGGTAAAAAATAATCAATGGAGTTAAGAAAACAGTGAGACTATAAAAGTCACTGTGATAATGAAAGCAAAGGATACCCGCAGCAGTGATTCCCAGCGTCAGTAGGCAGAAGTGTCATGGCTAATACACTAATTTATTTCAAATTCAGTCTGCCCATACAACTTTAATTCACCCAGGCACATTATCTGACATTTCCGTAGCAGACAAACTTAGTTCATTATATAGGCTCTGTAAAGAAAGCCAAGGTAACTAATGTGAGTAGCTGATTAACACTGCTAATTGGCTGATTATGTGGCATAAGCACGAGAGGGAAAAGCAAGCAGGCAATGGAAAGATGCAGAAGTGAAAAGGGCGAACAAATTCATCATCATTCCAAAGAGAAAAACAAAAAACTCCAAATCTGTGTTTGGTACATCGGCATCATCTTTGTGTATTAAGAACATTACCTTCATAACAAATGCCCAGAAACATATGCCCTTGATGAGTGGGCACATAATTAAGGTCTGCTGAGTAACAAACTAATTGCACACTCTACTTCAAATACTTAATGACTTGGTCATTATGTCAAATTGAAATTTATACCTTTTAATTATACATTAGTTTAGTGAAATGGCCCTTCCTAGAAGTGTGCTTCCCATTCAAGAATTACTTTCTAGAAATGGAACATTCTGTTCCATGTATTGGGCAGCCTAAAATGATGTACAGAAACCTTATATAAATGACTTCTAATTACACATAAAGGTGTAATTCTGATGGCCAGAACCTGCATGTCAAGTGCTATGGCTGACTCCTTAGCAAAGACACATCAGCACATATGTTTCTTTCACATATGTAAATGTCTGGGGAGGCAAGCTCTTACCTACTAAGAGAGCCAGACACAGAGTGAATAAAAAACGTGGAGAATAGGTTATTTCGGTTTTTCAAAAAAACTATTTTTTTAAAAAGCTGTAGATATAATGGTAGTCTCAAGTTCTGAAACAATATCAGAAAATATAGCTCATCGTCTACTAAATAAAGAGATGTGTGACTATTAAGTTACATAATGTACAAGAGGAAAGATCAAAGGCCACACCAAGTCACTGAGAGTGGCAAATTTAAGGTATCCGTCCAACAGGGTGACAACAATGTCCTGACATAAAAACTTAAAAATTACTTGAAAACCAACATATACAATCTCTGGAACCATCAGGAGGCATCGGGAACAAACTGAAGCATTAACCATTGCTAATGCCAGGTTTAAAAAAAAAAAAAAAAGGGCAGGGGAAGGCCGAGCGGGAGCGGAAAAGGAGGTCGGGGGCTGCTTGAGCAGGTCTCAGGTTGGGAGAGTTGGGGGTGGGAAGCCGGCCGTTTCCCCTGGGGACGTGGCGTTAGGGTGAAACGTGATGCCCAGAAGCGAGTTTGAGTGAGTGCTTGGAAGTGTAAGTAACAAAACACTCTTAGAACAAACGGAAAGAACCGAGGAGATCAGAGGACAGGCGGAGGAGAGGTGGGCAGAATGGAGGGGAAGACTGGGGGGCAGGTGGCGGGAACCTGGCGGACCACAGCCGACCTGCAGGAGGGGAGGCATGGGAGGGTCCCCTCCCCCGCGCATGAGGCGAGCAGCAGAAAGAAGGTGAAGAGGAGGCGCCAGGCGAGGATGGGACCCG